GAAAGAACATTGGAGTTTAATGCTCTCAACAATTTTGTTGTGTCCTGCTCATCAGCAAACATGAAAAACAAATCAGATAATGTATTTAGACAGAATTCAACTACAAGATGAAGCATAATGATAGTAGAATGAAATTGTTGTATGTAAACAGATGCGTGGAATGCTATCAAGAGAACATTAAACATGATTAGTTGAGAAGAGAACCAACCAACGTCACAGGAAGCTGCGGTATGAGAAATACTAAGTTCATAATGCTTAGAATTATCTTATCAAGAAGATTGAATCCAATTGACTCCAAAATAAATCGTATCGCGAAAAAAAAAATCACATTTTTTGAGAAATATGGAAAGAAAAGGTATAATATTGAAAGAAAAAAAATCATATAATAAGTATGAACTAAGAAGAAGTTAGAAACAGAGTGGATAAGGAAACGAGTTTACACAACCAACAAGTGAATGGCAAACCTTTCAGACTTTCCCACGTTCATTTTCTATGTTCCCTGAATACAAGCATTAGTATTAAATTTCAAAAGTGGAAATCAATAATAGAAATTCTTGCACATAAAACAGAACATTTAAGAGACCAAAAGTCGATGCGTGAAGAAAGTGGTGAGCTAGAAATTAAAATATTTGACGTGAATAAGATTGTATTTGAAATGCTGCAAATATGTTGTGGAGAATTAGCACCTGTTGAAAATGTAGGCATATGAGAATTGGTGCCTTAGTAATTTCCAACTTGTGCTTCATCTTTTACGTTTACTTCTTCTTAATCAAAGTCTATGTATTTAATGTGAGCAATCTTTTCCCAGTCTTCACCTTCTTGTTTCTTGCACCGTTGTTTGAGCAACGGACAATTTTTAATTCGGAGTTCTGAAATGGATTTAGGCAGAGCCTGCTCTGACAAGCATTGGAGGCTGGGACAACTCAAAAGATCCAATTTCTCAAGAGAAGAGAGATGAGAGAGAGCGTTGCAGTCGAGTTTCTTAAGATTTGGACAATCATATATCGCTAGATTAGTAAGAGAGAGTGGGAGTAAACCTTCACAGGGGAAAAACTCCACATCCACTTCGCCAATATACAAGGATTTTAGAGAAGTGTTGGTTCCCCAAACCCCCTTTAGTGAGGCAACAAGTTTGGAGCAATTCTTCAGACGCATTTCTTTTAGATTTGTGGGCAAACATCCCTCAGATAACTCCACTTCTGGACAATTGCGTATTGACAAATAATTAAGGGATGGAAGGAGGACCGACATGCTTTTAGGCATTGATTTCAATTTCTCCAATCCTTCAATGCGAAATCTCTCCAGCTTCTGTGCAAATAATCCTTCATTGGGAAATGATTCAAATTGAGAGCATTTTTCAATGCTCAGAGTCTTCAAATCATTATGACAGTGCTCCTGTGATATCATCTTTAGGTTATGACACTCTTCCAAACAAAGGTCGCATAGTTTTGGGAATATGTCTAGAGGGATGTTTGTGAGCGAGTCACAACATTGACTAATATCCAACTCTACATGCAAAGAGTACCAATGGTTTGTGGGAATATTCATGCCCGGACATGAATAAATACTCAAGGATTCAAGAGGAGTATCAAATGAAGATGGCTCCATCTTCACACCTTCAATTTCTATGGCCTTGGGAATCGAAGCCACAAGTTGTTTGCATTGACCAATAGTTAGCTTTTTTAAGCGAGAAAGTTGCACAGGCAAGTTCCCTTTCAGTTTGGGACAATTCATCACAGAAAGACAATGAAGACTTGGAAAAGCACCCGTCATGCATTGCCATTCTTCCCATTCCTTCATATCATTAAAGCTCAACGTTTCCAAGGATGCAAATGCGAAAGAGCTATTCCCGTAAAAGTCAGCATCTATCCTGACTATGCAATCAAGGCCATGAATTGTCAAGTGCTTGAGAAATGTCAAAAGTCCTAGGGACGGCAACAATTGGCAATGTCTACAGTTATTCAAGCTTAAGGACTCCACATTCAATAGAGAATTATCAGATAACCAACGTGGAAATTGCGTGCCACCATAGCCATCGATTAACAAATGCTTCAATTGTCTGGAAGGTTGCAGATTCTCAAGTACTTCTCTTTCTATTATTGAGTCGTCATTGTTACGATTCAAACTCCATTCTAGATTTAGCCCCACAAGATGTTTTTTATTTTTCAAATTTGCAGCCATTGCATCATAGGGATTTACAATATTTTCAAGACTTCTAATTGACAATTGTCCGTGAAGCTCAAATTCTCCAAGTTGAACATTGGACTGACTACTTTTGCCAACCTCAAACCTACCCATCCATACTCGAAGATTCTTTAATTTTCCTAAATGAACTGGAGCCTTTCTTAAAGTAGTTCCCACAAGTTCAAGGCAGCGCAAACTAGTGAGTTGATGCAAATTCGAGGGCAGCTCCTGTAAATTGAAACACTTGTTCAGCTTCAATACTTGCAAGTTACAGAGTGAACAAGTTGAGTCAGGAAGTTTAGTTATGCCTGTGTTTGAAAGGTCTAATGAACGGAGATGCTTAAGATCGGCTATAGTGTCAGACACCTCCTTCACCTTAAAGCAATGCAAAGACAAGACCCGTAAGAACTTAAAGTTGGAAATCAACTCTTGTATTGAAATCTCACAGTCCGCCCAAAAGGATATAAATGTCCGTAGCCCTTTAGCATCACATAAACTCTTACGATATTTAATAGGATTGATTACTGTTGAAAAGTGACGGGTTGTCTTTGGTACTCTTTCTGCTTTATCAACTCCCAACCTGAAGCATATTTCACCAGAAACATATTTTGCCAAATCATTGAGAAGGTCGTGCATGAGAAAACATGTTTCGTTGTCTTTAATTGATTGTTGAAAGAATGACCTTGATAACAGATCATTGAAGTATAGTTCACCTACTTCTTCTGGACACTTGCTTTGCTGAGAGCATTGTAGAAAATTTTCAGCCATCCATAAGAGAATTAAGGTCTCCTTGTCAAACTTATGATCTTTGGGAAATAACGCACAGTAAGCGAAACATCTCTTGAGATGAGAAGGAAGATGGTAATAACTCAACAGCAAAGCAGGGATGATTTTACTATCTTCTATGGATAAGTCCCATATCTCGCTTGTCAATACACCTTCCCACTCTGAAACAGATGACTTTGTGTGTAAAAGACATCCCAGCGTTTCAAGGGCTAGAGGCAACCCTTTGCACTTTTCAACTATCTTCATACCAATCTCCTCCAACTCACAATTCAACATAGAGTTATCATCTTGCAATGCATTTTTAGCAAATACTTGCCAACTGTAATGTTTTTGTAATTGCTTTAGTTGGTGTACGTAGCTTGACTGCATGATAGAAGCCACTTTGTTACTGCGTGTTGTGAGAATAATTTTACTTCCTTTAGCTCCATATCGAAGAGGAGTTTGCAATGTTTTCCATAGGTTTCTGTCTTCGTTCCAAACATCATCTAGAACCAGAAGAAACTTCCTTCCTGTCAATTTTTCTTTTAATTTTCCATGAACCATTTCTATGTCTTCACTATCATCTTTTGATTTAGTCAGAGCCCCAATAATGGCTTTTGATACTTTCAAAACGTCAAATTCATCAGAAACACAAACCCAAGCTTTTTCATCAAATCCAGCTTCCTTCATCTTTGGGTCATTGTATACATGTTGGGCAAGTGTGGTCTTACCCATCCCACCCATACCCACAATAGCAAGTATTGACAGCTGGTTAAGATTGCCATTGCCTGAAGTCAGCCAATTAAGGATAATTTCTTTGTCCTCGTCTCTGCCACAAATAATATGTTCAGCCACCAATGATGAGGATTCATTTTTTCTCTCTAACACCTTATTACCCAATTCGTATCCGATACCACCAGCATTTTTTAGACCTAGATCATCCTTTTGGTTCAAAAGAAATTCAAGGTCATCAAGGACTTCTTTCAGCTTGGATTCAAAAGTGTGTACCTTGCTAGCACTTCTCTGGTATTCAAGTTCTATTTCATCCAGCAGATCCTCTGTGTCAAGCAACACGTCTCTGACATCATCAAGCCACGTTTTAACATATTCATTTCTAAACTGCTTTAGTTCTGCATGATCAACCACAGCATTCATGGACACCAACTTCCTCCTCAAAATTTTCAGAAGCTTCTCATCGAGCTTTCTCCCACGAAAGTAGTCTAGAACTTGATGAGAATCCAGCTTTTGAAATAGTACCTGAAGAACAGCACCAAAAAGAGCACCACCAAGTGTTTCTAGGACTGGCATGGTTAGAAAGGAAGTGACCAAATCAATGAAAAGAAAGGATTGTGAAAATTGGAGTGAAGGTAGAGAGATTTAAGGTGAGATCTATTTTCTTCGCAATGGCTTTACTTCAGTAGCTGTTGTGACTCTTGAGCACACAAATAAGATTACGTGCATAATTGAGTTCAGTTTATACAGTGTTCACGATGACTTATCTGAACTTGTCATATTAAATCCAAGGAGCCTATTATCTTAACTCTTCTTATATTTATAGACATTTAATAAAACAAATTAGACAAACCAACAAAATCATACTAAACTCTGATCAAACTAATTAAACAACTTAAAAGATTACTACGAAAAACCACCTCAGATCAATTTCTTTCCTTCCTTTCCAAAGTTTCAATCCCAGTTTTACATTTTTATTTTTCTCAGTTTACAATTTCTTCTTCCTTCGATTTTTCAAACTTTTGTTTACCTGTCTCCTAATTTCTATTTCTTTTTTTGTTTAGACAGTGACAGTGTTGAATGAGTCCATATTCTATAGTCTTCTATACTCTTCTAGCTCGCCCAAATTTATTTAGAAAGGTTAAGCATATTATAAAATAATAAAGCAATAAAGATCTTAGATATGCTAAAATCAAAATTTCTTATCGCATAGTTAAAGTTACAATAAAATATTGACGGAATTTATTTAAGGACCACAAAATTTAAAGCATCAATACGATTTCTTTTCTCTTTTAATATATATAATTGAATTTTATCATATAAAAGATGTTCAATGGTTTCTCGTTTTACATAGATTAAAGGTGCTTGTATAAAACAATAATTGATTATTTTTCTATAAGAAACCAAACAAACTTAAAATGAATTAACTCAAAATTTGATAATAAAAAACTCTCAAAAAAGAAAGAGACAATAGTCTTTCTATCTAACCTTTGGACTTTCTAACCTTTCTTTCACATCAAAACAAACCACTCTGCTTTATCACTTTGACTTCTTGAAAAGACATATATGAGCTATAAAAAAAATTGGGTGACACCTCATGCTTATGGCTTTCACTACTAATGAAGATAATATTGTCCCTGAATTAAATCATGATAATAAACAAAAATATAACACAATGTATTCACAGACCCTACATTCTCCCTTACTGCCCTCTATTAATTCTTTCCCGCTTTCTTGTTTTCTCTTTCTTATTATTACACCTAGTAAATTTTAGAATAATTTACTGAACTCAAAAAGAATTAAAAAATTAATAAATCAAAAGCAATTAGGGAATAAAAATAACAGTANCTTTCTATCTAACCTTTGGACTTTCTAACCTTTCTTTCACATCAAAACAAACCACTCTGCTTTATCACTTTGACTTCTTGAAAAGACATATATGAGCTATAAAAAAAATTGGGTGACACCTCATGCTTATGGCTTTCACTACTAATGAAGATAATATTGTCCCTGAATTAAATCATGATAATAAACAAAAATATAACACAATGTATTCACAGACCCTACATTCTCCCTTACTGCCCTCTATTAATTCTTTCCCGCTTTCTTGTTTTCTCTTTCTTATTATTACACATAGTAAATTTTAGAATAATTTACTGAACTCAAAAAGAATTAAAAAATTAATAAATCAAAAGCAATTAGGGAATAAAAATAACAGTAGGATAACGGTTAGCTACAAACAAAGTCTCACATAAGATAAAATTAGAAATAGACATGAGTTTATATACACATAAGATAATAGACATGAGTTTATATACACATAAGATACCTCCACTAATAAGAGATCTTTTGGAGTGATATCAAAAACAAATCCTGAAGGACTTAACCTAAAGCAGACAATATCTTATCAGTGTGGAAATCTATGTACGTGTATCGATAACTAACCTAAAAGGTTATCAGATAAGATAGGCGAGCAGCTTGAAGTAGGTATCCATCAAGGAATTTTTTAATTGTGATGTTGCAGTGTTGGGGAAACATCCCACCTCTACTACCTGCAATCCTTTAGGTTATGTCGCCTAAGTTTGGTTAGGTATCTCTCTGCAATCTCTTTCGGTTAATTCTAGTCCACCTAGAATTCCAATTTATGCAGATATCTACTTATCCTATGGAGGATTAGCATTATTGTGAGAAGAATGATGTATATAAGAAATATGTTGTAATAAGAATACTAAAAAAAGTCTAAATTGATAAGACATGATTTCGGAGTAGGGATGGTTAAGCTGCAATGTCTATTTTTCATTTCCACTGAAATATTGATTTTAAAAATGTCAATTACATTTTATTTCTTCTTTTCCTGTCTTTTTTATTTGTACATAAAATATCTCTTTTATTTTGTTTTATTTTTCATCTATTTTCATTGATTCTCTTTATGTAATCATTGTATTTTATGTAATTCATGAAACATTTTAAGCTGAAAATAGTACACACAAGGTATCCTGGACTGATCGTTAACCATAACTCTGTTTCTTAAGGATAAATATTGGTAACCAACTACAAAAGAGAATAACGGTAAGACCTCAAAAAGACAAAAATTTGATGCGTGAAGAGAAGTGGTGAATTGGATATTAAAATATTTGTACTAAATAAGAGTGTATTTGAAATGCTTCAAAGATGTTGAGGAAAACCTGACGAACCAGACGACAAATGTACGCATCGTCTTTCGACTTATATGTTTACTTCTTTGTTATCAACAATTATGGATTTAATGTGAGCAATCTTTTCCCAGTCTTCACCTTCTTGTTTCTTGCACCGCTGTTTGAGCAATGGACAGTCTTCAATTATGAGTGTTGAGATGGATTTGGGTAGACCTTCCTCTGGCATGCCTTGGAGTATTGGACAATTATCGAGAGTTAACTTCTTAAGAGAAGAGAGGTGACAAAGACCCCTGTAGTCGAGTTTCTTAAGATTTGGACAATCTCTTATGAATATCTCAGGAAGAGAGAATGGGAGTAAACCTTCACCCGGAAAACACTCCAAATCCACATTTCCAATATTCAAGACTTTTAAGGAAGGGTTGGTTCCCCAAGCGCCCTTTAGAGAGGCCACAAGTTTGGAGCAATACCGGAGACGCATTGTTTTTACATTTGATGGCAAACATCCCTCGGAAAACTCCACCACTGGACAATTGCGTATGTACAGATCATTAAGAGATGGAAGAAGGGCAGACATGCATTTAGGCATTAACTTCAATTTCTCCAATCCTTCAATAAAAAATGTCTCTAGCTGACTTGCAGATAATCCTTCATTGGGAAATGATTCAAATTCAGAGCATTTTTCAATGCTCAATCTCTTCAAATGATTGTGAGGGTGCCCCTGGGATATCATCTGTAGGTTACAACACTCGACTAAACTAAGCTTGCCGAGTTTTGGGAACAAATCTAGAGGAAAGGTAGTGAGAGAGTCACAACCATTGATATACAATTCTACAAGAGAGTAGTACCAATGGTTAATGATATCAGATATGTGGGGCAGCCAAGTCATATCAAATGAAGATGGCCTCATATTCACACATTGACTCTCAACGGCCCTGGGAATTGGAGCCCCAAATTTGCCGCAGTTCTTTACAGTTAGTTTCTTTAAATGACAAAGTTTGTCTGGCAATTCTTTCAGCTTGGGACAATTTGTCAGAGAAAGACTTTGAAGACTTGGAAAAGCACCGGTCATGCATTGCCATTCTTCCCATTCTTTCATATCAGTAAACCTCAATGTTTCTAAGGATGCAAATGCAGAACAGCTATTCCCGTAAAATTCAGCATCTATCTTCACTATTTGATCAAGTCCGTCTATTCTCAAGTGCTTGAGAAATGTCAAAAGTCCAAGGGAAGGCAAAAATAGGCAATATTTACAATTCTTCAAGGTTAAGGACAAAACATTTGTTAGAGAATTATCAGATAGCCAACGGGGAAATTTTGTACCACCATAGCAATAGATTACCAACTGCTTCAAATGTCTAGAAGGTTGCAAATTCTCAAGTACTTCACTTTGTTTCATTGAATCGGCATTGTTCCGCTTTAAATTCCATTGTAAACTCAGCCACACAATATGTGTTTTATTCTTCAAATTCGTCTCATAGGGGTTTGTGATTTTTTCAAGATTTTTAATTGACAGCTCTCCATGAAGATCAAGTTCTCCTAACTGTTGAATACTGAACTCACGACTTTTGCCAACCTCAAACTTGTCCATCCACACGTGAAGGTTCTTCATCTTTCCTAAATGGAGTGGAGCCTTCGTTAGAGTAGTTCCCTTAAGTTCAAGGCGGCGCAAATTGGTGAGCTCATGCAAAGTCAAAGGCAGCTCCTTCAACTTGACACAATTGTTTAGCTTCAATTCTTGCAAGTTAAAGAGTGAACAGGTTGAGTCAGGAAGTCTCTCTATGTCGGTACCTGAAAGGTCTAACGAACGGAGATGTATAAGATCGCCTATACTGTCAGGAACCTTAATACACCAACGCCAAGCTAAGACCCGTAAGAACTTAAAGTTGGAGATTAACTCTTCTATTGACATCTCACGCCACCGAAAGGTTATAAAAGTCCGTAACCCTTTAGCATCACATAAACTCGTACAATATTGAATAGGACCACTTACATATGATAAGTGACGGGTTTTCCTTGATACTCTTTTTCCACCATCAACACCTAACCTGTAGCAGATTTCACCTGAAACATATTTTGCTAAATCATTGAGAAGGTCGTGCATGACAAAATATGTTTTTTTGTTCCTAATTATTTGTTTAAAGAATGACCTTGATACTAGATCATTGAAGTAGTTTTCACCTACTTCTTCTGGAGATTTGCTTTGTTGAGAGCAATCTAGAAAATTTTGAGCCATCCATAAGAAAATTTAGCTTTCCTTGTCAAACCTATGGTCTTTGGGGAATAATGCACAATAAGCGAAACATCTCTTGAGCTGTGAAGGAAGATGGTAATAGCTCAACAACAAAGTAGGTACGATTTTACTATCTTCTATTGGTAAGTCCCATATCTCGCTTGTCAATACACCTTCCCACTCTGAAACAGATGACTTTGACTGTAAAAGACATCCTATTGTTTCCAGGGCCAGAGGCAATCCTTGGCACTTTTCTACTATCTTTATTCCAATCTCCTTTAACTCTGAATTCAACTTAGTGTTTTCATCTTGGAATGCATGTTTAGCAAATATTTGCCAGCTGCGATCTTCATCTAATTGCTTTAGTTGGTGTATGTAGGTTGACTGCATGATAGAAGCAACTTTGTGACTGCGTGTTGTGACTAGAATTTTACTTCCTTTAGCTCCAAACGTAAGAGGAGTTTGTAATGCTTTCCATTGGTTTCGGTCTTCGTTCCAAACATCATCCAGAACAAGAAGAAACTTCCTTTCGGACAACTTCTTTTTCAATTTTCCATGAACCATTTCTAGGTCTCCACTGTCATCTCTTGAGTTAGTGAAAGCTCCAATAATTGCTTTGGATACTCTCAAAGCATCAAATGCATCAGAAACGCAAACCCAAGCTTTTTCATCAAAGTTAGCTTCCTCTGTCTTTGGATCATTGTATACATGTTGAGCAAGTGTGGTCTTACCCATCCCACCCATACCCACAATAGAAAGTATTGACAGCTTATTATCATTAGTGTCAGATGTCAGCCAACTAAAGATCATTTCTTTGTCCTTGTCTCTGCCATAAATAACAGCATCTTTAGCCATCAAGGATGAAGATTCAACTTTTTTCGCCGACACTTTATTACCAAACCCAGATCTAACACCAGTAGAAATTTTAAAATCATGAACAACCTTTTGACTTAAGAGAGATTCTAGATCATCTAGGACTTCTATCATCTTGGATTCAAAGTTGCGTACCTTGCTAGCACTGGCGTGCAACTCAGCTTCCGACTCACTTTTGAAGAACTCATAGTGTATTTGCTCCAGCAGATCTTCAGCATCATACAAGACGTCTCTAACCTCATCAACCCATTCTTTGACCAATGAATTACTGAACTGCTTTTGTTCTGCATCATCAATCACAGAATTGACGTCCATCAGCTTCCTCTTCAACTTTTTCAGTAGCTTGTCATCGAGATTTCTCCCACGAAAGAAGTCCAGAACTTGATGAGAATCCAGCTTGTCAAATAGCACCTGAAGAACAGCACCAAAAAGAGCACCGCCAAGTGTTTCAAGGACGGGCATGGTTGGAAGGGAAATGGCCGAATCAAAGAGAAGAAAGGATTGTGAAAATTTGGAGTTCTAATCATGAACAGAAGTAAGAATTCTAAAATTTTCATAATTTATCATTTTGAGATTGTTTTGTTCTAATCATAGAAGTTAGATCTACCTTTAAACGATAGATGATTAATTATATTTTGATTTAAATATTATTTTATTTTTTATTTTCGTCTATTTTCATCAATATAATTTATTTTAATTAAATTTCTATTTTGATGAATTTTTTACAATTTTATTTAATTTGATTTTTTTTTTTTGAACTTAGATGGCCGTTAGAACTACCAGTGCGACCGCCCACGTTGGTCATCAGTGAGGCTTCCATGCGAAAATCCAAATAGGACAAGCATTAATGAATTAAATTGTTCCAAGGTTGTACTTCTACAAACAATTAAGAATAAAATATATAATTGATTATCATCACTTAACATAATTAATTAAGCTAAAATTAAAATGTCTTTATAAACAGTTTTTGAGATTGTCTGTACAATAAATATTTTCAATAGCTTATACACTTTGAGATATTCATAAAATTTGTCAATCAAAGCTCCAAAAATATATTTTTTTACAATTCATTGAAAAACATCGTTGGTAGTTATATTCTTTATCTTAGATTTGAATATAGAGCCTTAACAAAAAATATCAATTTCAACAAATAGTTAGATAGAGTATAGTTTATCCTATATTATAAACAACAACGAAAACTAACGATACAATAATACATGAACATTTATTCACCATACAAGAATGTAGTATATTAACTTTTGTTCACTATCCGAGAACCACAGAACATGTTTAAAAAAGAGTGCATGTTTAAGATAACACATGACATCAAGTATCAACAATTTTAGGTCATGTTTTCATTGATTAGCCCACACATTCTAATGTGAACAATTAGATAAACATATGACATAAGGTATCAACACTAAACCAACCGTTGTTGCTGGTAGTTCCTAAGTCACATCTATATGTTTAAGAAACACTTATATATCCATGTGGTCTAGCATTGCTTAAAGTAAAAAAATTGTGCATTAGGGAGATTTTGGGCACATTTTTTGATGGGTACACACATTTGGTTAAGTCATTCTTAACACGAACACTTATATTTCAATATTGTATTATCTTTTTCTTAATTTTTATTATTATACTTTCTATCCATGATGTTTTTTCTTTTTTCATGATTTTATCCATTTGATACACAAGTTACGAGAGAACTTGTTGTTATTCATGATTAAGATATGGAATGGAAGATGATCTCATGTGGTAACTTCTACCACATACTAGAGGAGGAAATCCTTGGAGATATAATGGGACTTTAGAGTATTTGAAGTTGATACTACTATTATTCCTCTGTATATTTTCTTACCAGACACATTGGAGGTTGTTGAAGAACCTCCATGTCAAAACATTTCAGTTATACATTTATGAGTCTTGTAAGTCATATTATGTGGTGTATGTTTTACAAATTATAATTATATTTAAATTTTAATTTACTATGACTAAAATAAAGAAAATAAAACGTACATGATTTATATTGAGCTTCAACCCTTCTATAGGAATACAAAGGTTCAGATTAAATAATATTTACATTGAATAATTAGTTTTCTAACATGTATTTTTTCAAATTATCCTAAGAATTACATAATAGTGTGCTTTTATTCACTTCAACCAAAATCTAGCCACATGAAAAACTTGTTACTAACGTATAGATTAATAAAAAATGTAATTCATCAGAATTTGACATCTCTTGAATTTGAAAGATATTTGATCAACATTTATATAAAGGAATCATGCGCTCTATTGAAAAAGAGATTTTTTCTTTACATTTTGTCATTCATTTAACATATAAATTAATTTGTAAAAATTTTATTTTTATTTGACGTTAACATTAAGAGTGGGTATGATAATTGTACTTTTTTTTTGTATCTCAAAAACGAATTTCATAATCTCCTTCACTTTTATAAGGAACGAAATATTGTTTTTAAGAAAATATGTATTTACGCCTAAAAGATTATATCAATTCTATATTGTTGTTTATTTTAATTTTTTTAAGTTTTAAAAAGTTGTTTCAACAGAGGATTTGGATGCACGCGAAATAGCATAAAAATTTTGTAGTTTTGGAAAAAGATTGTTGTTAGATTATTTTTGAGAGGCAGAAATTTAACCATAAATGAGAAAATGCTTTACTATAAACGAAGCTTTTAATGAAAACTATTCTAATGAAGGGCCCACTAAAAAGTTTTCGGCATTGTGCTGCACGTCCGGATTGTGCGCCTTTGCCTCCCATATTTCTTTCCATGCGTCCTCCACGTGTCCATTTTATATTATTCCCTAGACTCACACGTGGGTCAACCTCCTGAGCCTTTGGTCTTTGTTCGTTACAAAGCCACCAACATGAGGATTCGTTTTTTCTCTCTAACACTTTATTTAGAAAAGGTTAAGCATATTATAAAAATAATAAACAAATAAAAATCTAAGATATGCTAATTTTATTAAATGGACATAACTCGATTCAATCCAATTTAAAACAATTTTATTAAATTAAACTACAATCTTAAAATTCAAAACATTTATATTCTAGTATTTTGTGTATACATTTAAACCTTCATGTATTATTCATTAGTGAAAAAAAACATTTAAGTCACCCTTTAGACGTCTTATTCTCGAATATCCAACGTAAAAAATGACCGGTAACATTTTTCGTAAATAAAATAATTATTTCGACGTCGACTATGGAGGAGTCCGACGTCTAAATACTCATATACGTCGGCTCCCCCAAATAGACGCCAAAACTAAACGAAAAACTTAAAAAACAAAATTAATTTTATTTAGACGTCTGGTGTGGGGGGAACCGACTTCTAAAGCACTTTAGACGTCTGTTACTAGGGAACCGACGTCTAAATACACAACCTAGAAATTTAAAAAGTCACTTTTTTACTCCATTTAGACGTCTGATTCCGCCACTCCGACTTCTAAAGCACTTTAGACGTTTGTTGTTGGGAGAACCGATGTCTAAATACACAACCTCGAAATTTAAAAAGTCACTTTTTGACTCCTTTTAGACGTCTGATCCCGCCACTCCGACTTCTAAAGCACTTTAGACGTCTGTTATTGAGGGAACAGACGTCTGTATACACAACCCAGAAATTTAAAAAGTCACTTTTTAACTCCATTTAGACGTCTGATCCCGCCACTCTAACTTCTAAAGCACTTTAGACGTCTGTTGTTTGGGAAACTGACGTCTAAATACACAACCCAGAAATTTAAAAAGTCACTTTTTGACTCCATTTAGACGTCTGATCCCGCCACTCTGACTTCTAAAGCACTTTAGACGTCTGTTATTGGGGGAACCGACGTCTAAATACACAACCCAGAAATTTAAAAAGTCACTTTTTGACTCCTTTTAGACGTCTGATCCCGCCACTCCGACTTCTAAAGCACTTTAGACGTCTGTTATTGAGGGAACAGACGTCTGTATACACAACCCAGAAATTTAAAAAGTCACTTTTTAACTCCATTTAGACGTCTGATCCCGCCACTCTGACTTCTAAAGCACTTTAGACGTCTGTTATTTGGGGGAACCGACGTCTAAATACACAACCTAGAAATTTAAAAAGTCACTTTTTGACTCCATTTAGACGTCTGATCCCGCCACTCCGACTTCTAAAGCACTTTAGACGTTTGTTGTTGGGAGAACCGATGTCTAAATACACAACCTCGAAATTTAAAAAGTCACTTTTTGACTCCTTTTAGACGTCTGATCCCGCCACTCTGACTTCTAAAGCACTTTAGACGTCTGTTATTGGGGGAACCGACGTCTAAATGCGGAGCCCAAGAATTTAAAAAAATCAGTTTTTGACTCCATTTAGACGTCTGTTATGGGAGGAACCGACTTCTAAAGCTCTTTAGACGTCTGTTATTAGGGAACCGACGTCTAAATACACAACCCAGAAATTTAAAAAGTCACTTTTTGACTCCTTTTAGACGTCTGATCCCGCCACTCCGACTTCTAAAGCACTTTAGACGTCTGTTATTGAGGGAACAGACGTCTGTATACACAACCCAGAAATTTAAAAAGTCACTTTTTAACTCCATTTAGACGTCTGATCCCGCCACTCTAACTTCTAAAGCACTTTAGACGTCTGTTGTTTGGGAAACTGACGTCTAAATACACAACCCAGAAATTTAAAAAGTCACTTTTTGACTCCATTTAAACGTCTGATCCCGCCACTCTGACTTCTAAAGCACTTTAGACGTCTGTTATTGGGGGAACCGACGTCTAAATGCGGAGCCCAAGAATTTAAAAAAATCAGTTTTTGACTCCATTTAGACGTCTGTTATGGGAGGAACCGACTTCTAAAGCTCTTTAGACGTCTGTTATGGGGGAACCGACTTCTAAATGTCGGCATTAAAACACTGCGAATGCGAGACAACCGTTACACGCACTCATTGTTCATCATCTTCGTCGCGTTTTCTCTCTACGTGTTATGCTTTTCTTGTTCTTTTTCTCACTTTTGCACCGTTTTAAATTAATTTTACTCCGATTACATCACTCTTTGATGCATTATCTTTCATTTGAACCGATTAAAATGCGTTTTTATTGGGTTTTGGTGCAGTTATTCTCGTGTCCTTGGGCGGCGTTCTTCGACGGCGATTTCTTGCATTTTGCACTCCTCCAATTCCCTTCACTACGATTTTGAAACCATCCAATAAAAAAATTGTACAATACATTCTCTTCAACTAAAATATAAAAAACTCGAATCACCATGAGTCAGGAGCAACCTTAGAGACGTCTGACATGTATGGATCGGACATCTATATAGACGTCTGACCTATATAGGTCCGATATCTATAGAGACGTCTGACTTAAAGGGTCCGACGTCTCATTAACGTCACCCATATAGACGTCAGACAGAGATCAGACATTAAAAGCCCAAAATAACAGACGTCTAAAGTCCTTTTTACAC